GAGTTCTATCCGTGTGTTATGTGTATGTGCTTATGTCGAACGTGAAAATTGGTTTGAAGGTACTTCAACACTTTGTATTTTTTTTCCATTTACAATAATTGTAGGGACTGTCCGCCTATTGACATCTTTTTTTTTCATTTTTTTAAATTTACGTTGTGTTCGGTTCAAGGGGGGACGTCTTTGTTATTTTGAGTTTTTATTTTTTTGTTTGCAAACGTCTAAGCAATTAAAATGGTCACCTAAAAATCTTGGAAGTGGTTGTATCTGTCTTCATTGGTTTAATAGTGCAAAAATATGGCTGACACTTTTGACTATTCTTTGCATATTTCTGTGACTGTTTTCATAATGCAGCCTTTTGACTATTCTTTGCCCACTTCTGTGACTTTCCACAATTTGCTGACGCTTTCACATGGTATGGGCAAAATCGAAAATTTTATGCTTCTTGACTGCTGCAATGTCTGATAAGTGCACTGTACAGGGGCCCACCATCACAGTTGAAACGGTCGAATTTTTCATTAAAATGACCCAAAAATATGGCACAAACAGGGGCTTAGTGTATTCCTTAGGGATATGACTATTAAGATTACTTCGGATGTCATTTCTAATATTATGCATATTTCTTAGGTCGTTTATCTCTTATTTCTTCATTTATCTGCTAGCACCCTCCCGATCATTTTACTCGTTTGATCAACGTTATTTAATAGCTCTTTGGGAGGGGATCCGACTATGATCCGTACTAGATCTCTTCTTACTAACTACCCGTACTAGATCTCTTCTTACGAACTACCAAATTCATTGCACATTGTGTGCACAAATCTGTGGTCTGTCTTTCACACCTCTTCCTTACCTATGGCAAAGGTAAGGTTTCTTTATGCGCTGTTGCATGGTAATTTTATTGATTGGCCCACTTTCATTTGTCACTAAATTACGTACCTTTAGAGTGCCAGGTTATAGGATAGATCATCCTTATGCATATTTGATTCATCGCCTAGTTATATCTCTTGAGCCACATTTTTGCATAGTATCTAAGGATGGGTTCGTCGTCCTATTGGTCAGGTTACTATATCCCAAAGTTGATTCCATGTCCCTTCGTCTTCTGCTCCTACTGAGTCGATTGAGCTTGCTGATTTGGCATTACTTGTTGATCCTATTGGTAATCTTCTTTCGAATGATCCTACCGATATCCTCATCCCTCCATCTCAACATATTATTCGTATTGATATTCCATTATCATCTACCTCTATTCCACATCCACTTACTGAATCCATTCTGAAGCCTACTTCTATTACTATTGATCTGTCGGTTGTGCTTATGGGTCAGATTTCTGTGCTCATTGAGAAGTAGGCTCGCATGATGATTGAGATCACACAATTGAAAGCTACTTTTGAGCATACACCACTGAGGTTGCTACCCTTTGTGGTGCGATTGCTTATGTATAGCGAAGGATTCAATGGATGCACAAGCATTAGGATTATGACGACAATGAGTGTGATGATATTGATGATGGCGACTACGCTGCTGTAGATTAGTTGGTAGGGATCCCCTTTGTGACAAAAATGAAGAGTTGTTTTAGATGGTAGATTGACATTTTTAGATACATTGCTAGATTAAAGTTTTGATGTTTTACAATATTGATGTATGTTCTTTTTGGTGCTTTGGCTTATATTAATATTGTATCTTGATCTAGCTAATATGATTATGCATTTATTGATGACAGTCTTTAACTATTTTTATTTATGTTACTATTTCACGTGCTTCTACACTTGATATGTGAGTTGTGATTTCCAAAAATTGGTTCAATAAAGGCGAAGAGTAAGTTGTCTTGGGTAGTCTTGTTAGTTAATTTTTTATTTAATGAATGTTTTGTCATAGAATGCTAAAGGAAGATTTTGTAGGTTTTAATGTAATTGGTGATTCTGTGAACAAAAAGGACTAAATTGAAAATATATAAAAGTTAAGGAGTTAGTTGCAATTTTGCATAGATGTGTTAGGTAGGTTAGGGTTCAAGCTTGGAATAAGAAGTTGCAATTTTGCATAGATGTGTTAGGTAGGTTAGGGTTCAAGCTTGGAATAAGAAAAAAGAATCACCACAATTTCTCATGCCTCTCACACAGACACTGCTTGAGCGATAAAAACATAATAGTCTTTGCTAGCTAGTCACCGGGACGTCGCTTAAGTGAAACATTGTCGCTTGCTTTTCGTTACGTTGTCACTCAAGCGATAGTATGTACTAAAAAACCCTAATTTGTGATTTTCGAGAATTTTAAGAGGACCATATTACCAAAAATGTCCATTATATAAATGCCACTTTATGAAAAACATTGGATTGAGCATTGTGAGAAAACACATATACTACTTTCATATCATTCAATCCATTGATGCTTGAGTCTTGCAATTGAAAAACATCAAAAGCCACTAATCAAACACTAAAAATCCATACTTCCAAAGTATTTGTCAAAAGTTGAAGATCAAGGAAGGTGACTGAAGTTCTAGTTATTGGAGAACGAGGAGTTCTTGGGAATCCACTGGAGATTGACGAAATCAAAAAGCCAAGAATTAGTGCATGAGCATGCAATCTAGGAAGACTTTGAAAATTATAGTTAGGAGATCAAAAAGTATTTGTGTTGGTCAAGTATGAGAATACTATAAGTTGATTTGTTTATAGTAGATTCATACTAGCTTCAGCCCAGAGTTTTAATCCCCGAGGGAACTTCTTCTTCATCAAATATCTATGTTAGTCACTCTCCTGCAATTTATTATACTACGACAATTCAACATTGGGTTGATTGCATGTGAATTCATCTAAACTAATTAATAATCGTGACTTGTTGCAATTATTAATTAATTTGTTTAAATTCTGCACAAGCAGCTATTTACACATTCTAGTTGTTAGTTGGGTCAAACTGCATTATTTTCAAACTCGAATTTGAATAATCTCCTATCAATATCCCTTTTCATTTTTTCTTCCTTAGAAAGTCTCTTCCATTTTTTTTTTCGATGTCATATTTTCCTACAAAGAAAATCATGGAATACATTAGTAACTTAATCAATGAATAATACTCAAATATATCAAATTTGTAAACAAAAAATAGGTAATGGAGGGGGACAGAACATGGCCCGTAGGCAGTGACTTAGGGGATGCATGGTCGGGTCATAACTCAGATGTACTATGGGCGCGACAGAGATGTAATAGGGATGTGGTAGGGACTGTAGAGGACACAGGCAGAGATGCAATAGGGAATGCAGGTTGGGACACAATGGAGATGCAGCCCCTAGCTGCGTTTGTGTCAAAAACGTTCCAATTTCAATGCAAACGTTCCAATTTCAATGCAAATGTCAAAATTTTCACACAACTTGTTGTATATCAATGCAAGAATTTGGCGTGCAAAGTTGGAGTAAAAATCCGAAAAAATACAATCATTGGGTAATTTTATCGAACATCTTGTTGTCTCGTAAGATTCCCCACATTTATAAAGCTGTTTCCTCCCAATTATTGCACACAATCCACCACCCATAAACCATCATATAATTACTTCCCAAACTCCCAAAAATGAAAACCGATTAGCAAGACTCCAAATTTAAAGGTCAATTTTGGAATTTGTGGTAAACAAATTTATTGGATTTTAAAAAAATATATGAATGTAATGAAGAATGTGAGGTGAGTGGTTGAATTTTTGGGCATAAGCTGATGTTTCCTTGAAAATAAATTTTGAGTAAATGAAGAGTAATGGATTTGTGTACAACTAGAAAGAAGGAGACGTTGTTGTTTCCGTTTTATTTATCCAATTATCCCCAACATAACCAATGGTAGACATCAGCTCCATGGGTGGACCCACATGGGGTCATGTGACCCCACAATTATTTATTTATTTTTTTCGTTTCTTTTACTTCTTACTTTGACACTCATTACGGGATGTCAAATAAAGTCGAAATATTGCACTATTAATACCATTTTGAAGTGTTCACAGAATAGTCTTTCACTTATTAATAGCTTGTGAAATGGCCAATCGCAGCAAAAGCTATATCATGTCAAAATATGCCATTTTAAACTAGTATTTCTAAAATTTTGATAATATGCTAATTTTAAAAATTTTCCAACGACTGTATTCTAGCTGAATTTATAAATCGTCTACATCACTTAGAAGCTTCTTTCGAGAACTATATCATAGACATCGAATAGTCCAAACAAATATTGAAATAGTTAAATGTGTGTCAAACTTATGTCTCTTAAAAAGAAGCCTAACACATCTTTCCTTTAAAAATTTTTAATGATTTCATTAATGTTTATTGTTTTTCACAACAAATTTCTCAATATAATTTACATTATTTTATTAGCAAAATCTATTTGACAATATTGATAATGTTATAATTATATGACGATTTCAAAGTATCAAGATGCGTAGACTACAATTGTAGTAGTGTATTGAATTATTTTTATTAATATTATATTGTTTTAAAAAATTACATTTTAATTTTTGACCCCACAAGACAAAATGTCTGGGTCTGTTTCTGATCAATTCATAATTTTTTATTTAACTTTTTTTTTTTGTTTTTTTAAAACACGCATATCTTAAATTCTATATGTATTGAATGCGATTATGAAAAATTAAGTAAAGTTCAGAAAAGTGGTCTCTCTCCAGTTAGTTCTTGATTTATAGTCGCAAGGTCGACTTTGGTGTATGATTAATTATGGTGGGTCGAATCACTTTATATCGTCCTTGCACTTTGTACAATTTTCATCGATTCACGTTTTCTTTACTATTCAAATTCTGATATTTCCATTTTCATCTCTACCAAAAAGTCCACCAAAATTTGATTTTCCATCCTGATAGATTCACTGATCAAACGATTCCTCTTCATAAATTCTACAACAATCTTCGGGGTCAGATGATTGTTCAAATGGGGTGTATATTTTGAATTTTTTTTTGCTTCTCCTCCAGACTCAATATCAGCTCACACTTCTCCATATGAATCAAGGTTCGACTTGTTGCTAAGAATGGTCAGCCTAATATAATTGGAATGTCCCAATCTTCTTCCATATCCAACATAACAAAATTTACCGAAAATATTAAATCTCCTGCTTTCATGAGCACATCCTCAACTTTTCTTAGTAGACATGAGATTTTTCTATCAGCATGCTGTAGCATTATAAATGCTGCTTTGACTTCACCTAATTCTAATTTCCTATAAATTGAATATGGCATTAGATTTACATGAATACCCTTATCACACAAAGCATTAATAGAATAAGAATTTCCAATCGAAATTGACAAAGTAAAATCCCATACAGTCTTCAGTTTGGGGGACACTTTATTTTACAGTCTTGCACTACTTTCCTCTGTTAATGCTACGACCTCAAACTTTGGAAGCATTCTTTTCTTGGTTAGCATCTCTTTTAAAAACTTTTTGTATCTTGATATTTGTAATATCATATAAATAAATGAATTATTGAAGTAGAGTTTCTTGAGATCATCCAGAAATTTTTCAAATTGTGTCTTGCTTATTCTTTTTAAGCCTTTGTGGAAAAAGAATTTGGAAGTACGTAAACCTTAACTGGACTTGGTGCTCTGACCTTAGGTGTTTCTTAACTTTCTCGCTTCTCAATTAAGGCTAGTGCAAATTTTTGTTTTGTTTTAGCATCATCAACCTCTTCGTGCTCATATTTTCTTTCTGATCTTGTAACGCCCAAAAAAAAAAAAAAAGTTAATAATAGTAGAATAGAAATGTATTTATTATGTATGTTATATTTTTACATTTTGAAAATTTGAGGACTAAAATGAAATAGGTTTTAAATTCATATTTTTATTTGAGTCAAACAATAAAAAATTTGATAGAGCAAGTATAAGTATATCAATATCGGGCTCGTTAGATAGCTTGTAAGTAATCATGCATATTAGGCTCGAGAAATAATTATTTCGAATAATTTATGCTCATATTATTGATATTGGAAGATATTACCTCAATTTATAATTAATTAAGTTAATATACATTCTTCCAAATCAATCCAGATGTGCACTAGCTGTATAAAGAAATATTTTTTCTTAGATGGTAATGACTTGATGTTGATGGAGAGATAAAGTAGCATTTTTTTTAGAATGGTTTGACAATCCACACGTGCACTAGTTGAGCAAAGAAACATTTTTCTTAGATGGTAATGACTTGATGTTGATAGAGGGATAAAGTAGCATTTTTAGAATGATTTGAATGAATTATTATATAATACATGTTGGGCAATTTTCTTGGTATAGTACAAGGCAATTATGACTTTTCCTACCAATGTGTCAACTGGCTTGTTTCAAATTGAATAAATTTGCCTTATTTGAGATACCAAGATTGGAAAATTTTAGGGAAAACATGGTATTTTGTAGATTATAGGGGCCTAGCAAAATTCATTTCTCCTTTTTAGCTTAAAATACCTTGTAAAAATAATCATTATCTACCCTAAAGAGAAAGCATAGATACGTGTTACTATAGCTGGAGAAATTAAAGATTTGGGAATGTAAAAATTCTTGCTCTTCCTTCCAACAATCCTTATTATCAATCAAGGTAGGACTACGAGATACAAGTGTTTTGTCCCATTTAAATTATATTTTTTTAATATTGATAAATTATTATACTTACAAAAGTTATGAAATGATATGATGATTTCGATATGATATGAAATGACTATCCGGTACCAAAGATATGATATACAATGAGCTCTTACCGGTTCCAAATGATATAATGACTGTATGATTATTTTTGAAGCATGATCTAAATATTTTTATTCGGGATTGCACTACTATTTTTGTGTCCTATTAAGTATTCCTATGTACTCACCATTTTCACTACTCTCACAGGTTAGAGCAGGTGGTTGGTTGGTGGGCGATGTGGTAAATTAATAAATCAAATCCACGTAATGTAGCGAAACATTTTATTTTCAACATGTTATTTTTGTTTCTTAGGAATTTTATTTTATGATTTAGTTAGTTTTATAATTTGATCTGTAAAAGATACAATAGTGGGTTAATACTTTATCATTTAGTTAATAAATGTGAAATGTGTGATTTTTAAAATATATTTTGTTTGGCCATGAGCTCCTTCTATTAATTAAATTGCACTCATAAAATTTATGTGTTTTCACTATTAAAATAAATGAATTTGGTGACGATTTCAAATCCTTAGAATTTGGATCATTACAGATCTTTCCATAATTATCTCTACAATTGTACCCACTCTTAGTAGTTATAACATGAATATCTTCTCCATTAGACTTCTTTCGAAGTCTCTAGGGAAATAGAGTGGAGTTACATATGCTTGAACTTTTACAGGTAAACTTGGTGGACATTTTTCATTACTTTTATTGTCATCATTTTCTCCATAGGATTTGTCTTGTATTACTAGGCAATGATCCTACTGTACGTTCATAAAGTTTTTGAGTAATTTGTCGGACTTGTATTTCCAACTTTCTGATTGATGTTTGTTGATTTTGAAAATTTATCTCGATCTACTTGATTACTTTGTTAGTTTTCTGCATATATTGATGAATATTTCTTCCAAACTTGGTCTTTGCTCTTGTTGTGAATTATTTGAACTACTCCCTTACTGATTATCAGACCATGTGAAGTTCGAGTCTTGTCTCCATACTAGAATATATGTTTTTCCATTTGAGTTGAAAATTTCTGAATATAGTTTACTTGTTCTTTTGGAGAAACTAGCAACAAGCAATTTTCTTGAGCATGATTGGCTTCACAATTCTCACATATCGAACTGACTATCACTACTTTTGATCTTTGTGTTTGAGATACCAATAACTCTACTTTCTTGGTCAAAGAAGCAATATGTGCATTAGTAGATGACATGTTGTCCAGCTCATAAATTCATGCTGCTTTCTTTTGGACCACTCGCTCTGATAAAAACATAGAATGTATAGTCGCAACCAACTCGAATAGGTCCAAGCATTGTTGAATTGATTTACTGATTATGGAGCCATTTGCTTAAAAATCCACCGAAATTTAGCCATAAGTGAAAGTTCGGTGTAGAAATACTTTACTTGATTACCTTTGCTTATCCCATGTTTTTGACACTTTTTCATCAACTCCTAGATATGTTTCAAGCTTCATGATAACTTTCCGATCATGATGTTATTTTGTTAGGATTTTTAGTCAGATTTTACTTGTTTTGCAGGTGGGAAGAACTCACAACAAAATTTTCTCACCAAGTCCTCCTTAGTGATACTACCATGTAGCTCAGAATCCAACCACTCCAAAGTTGCATCTCTCAATGTATACGAAAATAACAATAGCTTTATTGCATATTCAATAATCTCCCGTAAGCTGAAAGTTCTGGTAATTCCAAAGAAATTTTGAGATTGTGTTGGAGATTTCATGAGGTAACATGAAGAACTGGAGGGTGTTGCTAGTCAAATTGATCTACTCAGTCCTTATCTGAAAGTTATTCTACCCAAAATTTTGGATATACTATACTAAACCACTCAAGTGCTGCTGTAAAATACAAGAATAGTGACACTAGTAAATCACGGTTCCTTGTCCAATTCATAGTATCGAAATATTTTGCTCTTTTACCATTTGATGTTTTCGTTTTTTGTTTGTGTTCTTTGAGTTTTTGTCTAAAGGTACATTCTATTTCCGAATCAAATGTTCCAAGATTGTTGCCTAGGGGACCGACCACACAATGAGCACCTTTTGGTTCATAAAAGAAAGTAAAATAAACTAATTAAGTAAAAGTAAAAAAAAAATTTAATAAATTATACTAAGACTAAATGTATATAGTCTCTGGCAGTGGTGCCAAAAAAATTTATTGTCGATTTTATATCCCGCAAATATATGAATTTTAACAAATAATATAATGGACCAATGAGTTTGGATCATCATTTCCGTGAGGACTATAACTTAATTCTTAATGTATTATTTCTAACTCCTATTTGACAAAAATAAATAAATAAGTTCTAATTTGGTTATAGTTTATCTGGATTATCTAATTAAATTAAAATTATCCAAAAGCACCCAATTAATCAAATTTGGGGTTTCAAAGTTTGAATATGGAGGCTAGGACATAAAATTTCACTTTATGGATCCCCTTTAGTTCGCTAATCAAGATTCATTACTAATGTAGTGCTCGATCGAATTCTTCTAAAGTATTCAATTTATCTCTGTCAAGTTCAAATTGATCTTATTTAATTAAGTCAATATCATATGTCTATATAAAATAGGACACACCTTAATTAAAAGCCTTAAATCTCTAAAAATCCTTGTAATGACAACATTAACTAGAAAGGTATCTCTATGCATTAATACTAGTTCCTAGATTTTATTATGTGGTCTAAACTTATAACTCACCTATCAACTTGTTATAAATTCACCAGATTATTTAATTTTTTGCCAAGTAATTAAAGCATAAAACACGATAAATAAAATCAACACATATAAATTTAAAGAACTAAGACTTTGAAAATTAAATTAAAAAGTTACACACAGATTATATTATTTGTCTTAAAAATAAATTTAGCTATCCATTCTAATGAAAAGCCAAAAAAAAAAAAAAAAAAAATGTTTCTCAAAAGTTCATATCTGAGTTCTGAAATTTTGATAATGTAAAGAATTGGATTTTGTACCAAGAATCTTCTTCAATCTCAAAAGTTTCTCAATACCTAGCTTTTTGCCTTTGATTTTGATGATTATTTGTTCTCTCTAAAAAATTGTGTGTCCCATAAAAATGAATATTGAAAACTATAAATAGAATTCCAGACTAACTCTTAAATTTGATTCTTAAAGCATCTTCAATGTAGAATTTGAATGTAATTCGGAATCCAATAAAAACTGGAATTCTTTTATTGTTAGTTGCACTTTGATCCCCTATATTAACTTCTTGTGCATCCTAGGTCTCTTTATTTGCAAGGAAGTCCTTATCTTCAAGACTTGATTATTTTGGTCCCCTATTCCTCAACTTTGTACCACTTCAATTTAATTTCATCTAAACTTGTCCAATCCAAATTTTACCTACAATTTGCAAAATTTAACCATTATTCAGTAAATAATCGCATAATCTAGCAATAAATAAATAAGAATCGAGGTATGGTGCATAAAATGCCCTTATCAGTAATCCATCATTGTTTGTCCAAGAAATTGAATCTGGATTGACAACTTCCTTGTCATCGCCTCATTTTAATAATTTTGATGGAATCAGGGCATCTTCAACAATATAATGTTCCAGTCCATTACATCATAAGGAGAAGAACCTGAGATATCCACAGCACATAATTTGAAGTGGTGATTATGTTAGAGATTAGGATGGAACATTGGTTGACGTTTGGAATTGTAAGTTTAGGCTCAGATGTTTTTGCCATGGTGGCAAAAAGAAAACAGAGAAAAAATTGGAAAGATAAGCTGGCAATTGTTATTTCCAGTTTTGTTACTTTGGCTATGAAGCTTACAAAATTTATACAAGCAAGAAGCTGTTATTTAGAATTGAAAAACAGCAAAACAGGCAAGTGGAAATATTAAAATCTACACTGAAAGTTGAGAAAGTGAACACCCATCTAATCTTCTAGCCGTTGAGTGTTGGGAAGAATATTGACACTGATGCAACTGAATAAAGAAAATTAAAGAGGTTAAACTAATTCATTTGAAATTGGTTTCTGGTCATTATTCTTATCAATAGCAATGATGTCCTTATGGCAATTCCTTCATGGTTCCATTATTTTGAGACGTTTCAACTAGCTAAAATGTCTAAGCCTTCTATTAATTATGTTGGGGTTTGCAACCAAAATTCATCTAGGGTTTGCATGGTTTGGTATATTGGGCCTTGAAGAAGTTTAAATAGAGTCCATGTAGGAAAAAGGGATTGACGGAGATAGCCTAACCCTAATTGGATGCTCTAGTGGTGAGATGGAAATTTTAGCAGTGACCTATCACACGAATACCACCCACCGAGTGCTCTCTTGGAGCTCGAAGGGCATTGTCGTTTGAGTTTTATTGTTCTCTTTATTCCACACATTTTTGACCTAGTTTCTATCCCTTGGGCTATTTTTAGTGTTTGAAAAGTGCCTCGACAAATAGTAGACTCTTCTTTACAATCAGATTCATTATGGCAAGTTAGAATTGTGTAGGAACAAAATATTGTTTAATTTTCTCTCCATTATAGTTGAATAAAATATCCAATTCTGCTGCCCATTAAATTTTTGTTTCTTATATTCTTGTTGTTGTAATCAATACTTCATATCGTGCTATATACCTCATTCAATTTCTAAGGAGTGTTATTAGAGATTTGGTTTGAACTTTTTGAGGTTTCTTGTTTTTTATGGCAACCTTTAAGTAAGACCTTCCGCTTTTGGATGTAGACCTTAGATTCTTGTTGTGGCGTGTGAAGATGTGAGCAGTGCTCACTCAAATGGATTTGGATAATGAGTTGTTGAGATTTGACAAGATGCCCACAACTTAGATGATGGAGGAGAAATAACAGAGTGATCAAAAGGTACTTTCACAAAATCATCTTTGTATTTCAAATAATATTCTTCGGGACGTTTTGAAGGAGAAAATGGCAGCTACTTGTGGTTGAAGTTGGAGTAATTGTGCATGTCTAAAAGTCTAACAAGCAAATTGCATTTGAAGTAAAGGTTGTATTCGCATCGTTTGACTGTAGGTAGATCGTTGGAAAATCAACTGGCTATTTTAAAGATATCATCCTTGATTTGGGGACTTTAAAGGTAAAATATGATGAAAAAGATTTGGCCTTAGTTCTTTTGTGCTCATTACCTACTTCGTTTAGAGACATGACTTTATATAGTCGTGTTACTCTCACCATTGAAGATGCATATGATACTTTGTTTTCAAAAGAGAAGATGAACTATCTAGTTGGATCTATAAGACTAGAGATGGAGAAGGCCTTGTTGTTCATGGTGGTCATGAAAGAGATCAAGTTTGTCTTTGGTACAAGAAGAAATTACACATCAAGAGGGATCGTAATATGTAGCAGAATAAAAGAAAATTTGGCTGCAAATTAGAAAGAAAGGCAATAAGATACTTCAAGCGAAGCTAATGGCTCAGAGGACTATTTGAGTGAATGTGATGTCTTGGCTATTTCTAATGGCAACTCCAATCCTAACGAGGATTGGATTCTAAAATTAGCTTGTTCTTTTTAAATGTGTCCCAATCGCAATTCGTTTTCAACATATTAAATAGTTTCGAAAGGTGCCATGGTCATGGAAAACAACGTACCTCGTCATGTAGTTAGTATTGGTAGAGTTAGAGTTAAGCAGTTAAAAAGGACATTTAGAACATAAACATGTTCTAGATTTGAAGAAAAATATCATCTCGTTGGCTACTCTTGATGCAAAAGTGTACATGTTCATTGGTGGATGTGGAGCTTTGATAATTTGCAAAGGTGGCCAGGTTGTATTGAAGGGGCAGAAAAAGTCCCAATTATACCTCTTGCAATGTCGTACAAAATCATTGAAGAACAATCAGCGAAGGTTTAGTATTGTGGTAAATATATAGTTTGGTATAGCACCACTGGGATTTGGTTTGGGGTCCGTGTAGAAGAATATAGCCTAGTCGAGTTTAGAGGATATGGGTGATGCCACTTTGCCACCATCAACCATCATATTCAATTACTAGGGACAGAACAATTGAAGAACGGTATGGGAAAGCTAATTTTATTGCTCATGCTTTAAATATATTTGAAGGTGTTTAGTCTATAGGAGCCTTCTACAAATGCAATTAGTGTTGATTTTGTTTTAGGGTGTGTTATTTGGTAACTTTTAAATCATTTGTGATTTTTTAGAGCCCAAGGTAATTCTGTAGAGTAGTGCTTGAATTCATCTATCTTAGTTGAATATTATGGA